ATTTCTCTGGTCGTGATAACATTATGAATTTATTGTCCCATGTAAATTTGAAAGACTCAGTGTTAGTGTGTTTTCTACCACTGCTATGTCAACAAAAATGATTGCCTATTTATTTGGTTGATATTTTTGTCTTCATGGAGAACATTATTTAGTTTTGCTTAAAAAACTCACTCTCCACTAGTGACGTTATATTTAAGATGTTGCTTTGTCATCGTTTGACTGCTAGTTAGTCATAAGCGTTTATTATCACTTTTTTAACATTATTGTTATGGCTAAACAAAATAAATATTACACTAAGGAATTATCATATTAGATTAAAAACGAAAGTGTTGTTAAACGTGTTTGAGGATGCTTGATAAAGATCTAAGTTTTTAAATAATTTTTGGAAATTTAGTTTCTTTTTTCCGCACCAAATGCTCATCTTATCACCTTTAGTTTGCATTTCCCACTTGGAAGGACCTCAAATCCTGCTGGCTAGTCTTCTCTGTTAGTATGCAATTTTATAAATCTTCCAAAGTTGCGTTTTGTACTGTATAAATTATGCTTGAGTTGAATGTTTATTAATTCGTTCCTTCGTGGCTGCTCGTGGATTATACAATCTTCCTTCTGATTTCGGACTTCTTACTCAAGTTAGCTGTGCTGGGCCTTAGGGATTAGATTAGCAGTCCTGTTAGTATGTCATTAGTTTACGTACCGTTCACCGATACTCAGTCGTCTCTTAATTAGTACAAACATAGCAGAAGGAAAATCTATAAATTAAGGATTAGTTAACAACTAAAAATTTTGTAACATTTCCTTTCTTAAAACCTATGCTGTTAAGTATGACAGTAGTAAGAAGAGATTAACCTGCTTTATGTAGTACTCAGTAAAAGAAGTAAACCATATCTTCTCCTATCCAACTAAATAAATGTTTCAAAGTATGTATTATATGATTTTGAGTTCAAATTACTGATTTCTTTTCTTTTATGTTCCGTAGAATAGAAATGACACTATTTATTAATATAAATTATGTAAAACTATCACTAGTCTGTTCAATATTTTCACTCTCAGATGATCGGACAACTGATTTGATTTTTTATACAAAGTAAATAAATATTTATCTATCGACAAATATACAAGCTTAGATCATTGGATGAATGCGATTAAATGCAGTAGTATTTCAGTATATTATTTTTCAATATTTTAATCATGGTAGAATATTTTTATTAAATAATTTTAAAAATCTCACATGTTTTATTGATGTCCACAAACGATGAAATTTCCTATGTTAACCTTATTTAATTATAGATATATGGTTTATACAACATATTATTATTATTATTATTATTATCATTTACAAGAAATTTATACACAGTCCTAAAGTAATATGGTTCATATTTTATCTTAAAGTAAATTCTCATAAATTATTCAATTAAAATAAGTAAAATAAATAAATACTTTGTGTTATTTTGGATGATAAAAATGCATCATTTAAATATTTCATGCTCAACTTTGATAGGATAAGATTAAATTAAAAAGACAAATTCATTTATGAATATAAAGTTCTTCTTCATTAAACATATTTTAGACAATATGGATTAGGCGGTTCAAATTTATAAGCATAGTCGAATCATGTAAATAACTATCGACTTTATTCCTGTTTTTATACAAACACTATAAACGTGACCTAATTTGTTTTAAAATATTAACGATTAATCATTATTATAAAACAATATAGATTAGGGTATTTTCAAACATTAACGTCATTACACTAAAAAAGGAATGGAATTTTTCTAAAATTTTACACAGTACAGTTTAACGTGGCAGAATTCGATATCAGTTGTTGATATTAGATTGATTGGCGTTAAACAACTGTGAAAAAAATGAGATAAATAATGTTATTTCCTTCTCTTATCATTTTATGAACTTAAAAATATACCAAACAAAAATAATTAATGAATCATAAATAAACCGTGATTATATTATAAATCACCTTTAATTAGTTTGCAGAAATGAAATCCATTGGTTGATAACACTATCACATGATCAAAATCGGGTTGTTAAAATTGTTAGGTTTCAATGAAATCATGAACTGATCAATGTTAGACTGTAATTGGAAACCTAGAAACATTGATTAGATGTTTGGTCCTTAAAAATGACTCTTCAGCATTGCGTATTCACTGCTCCGTTTCACAGTTTTTATGGGAAGCTGTGACCAATGATGTTTATCCATGTAAGATGTGAGACAACCATCCACCTCAGTCAATTGGAGTTGGTTATGAAAATTTAATTAAGTTAAACATGTACACTATTGGATGCTGGCTAGTGGTTTAAAAAGTAAGCACCTATCACGAGACTGTGGGACTTAGATTTCATCTCCAGTAATCGGTCTTGGATAAAAACTGTTTTAGAGTCCCATACTGAGAAGACATATCTTCCTAGTTTACAGTGATTATTTCCTGAGATCGTTTACGCATTAGAAGCAATGAAAATAGTTTTCAGCATAGTTTGATATTAGTAAGCAGTGGAATCGTAGGTACGCATTTCTTCCCAATCGGGACTCATCAATTGGATGCATCTACCAAAATCTATCGATCAACTGTAGCGCCAGAAAAATTACTGGGATGATTCAAACAAGCACAGTTGTTTATTTGCTTATGATAAAGGTTTTCTTTATTGCGCTTCTAATTAATTCAGATTCTTTGTAGATTTCTGCTGTTTAGAATTATATGTGGATATATATTATTGAATTTCGATGAACATTTGACCTGGATGTGAACAACAACCTAAATTGTATTCTTGCATTCAGTTTTGATAATCTAAATTCGTCCGTTACTTGAAAATATTTAGATATTATGTACCATAGCATTTCTAAAGCCTCGCCTTAGGCTTTATTAATTGATAATAAAATGATAATATTCACCCTACTATCAGGATATAATAATTAATTTATCATAATATATTGATTTCATAAGAGCCATTTTATCTTACAATAATAATGAAAGAAATCCATTTTATCAGTTTGTTCACAAAATGTGTAGGTCATTGATTTTCAACATTTTGTTATTATATGATTATGTATAAGATATTATTGTAATTTGTTCTTTCCAGTGTAGGTAATAAAGCAAGCATTTTGTTATGCTCGTCTCTAGGTATGCTTAAAACTTTTACAGGTTCACCTAAGTCGAATAATCAGAACAAAACAATGAACCAGCGTCCAGATAGGCTACTGTGATCCCTTGACCAAATTGTACCAACAAGAAGTCTTGATATAGCGTAGAAAGTGTATTCTACAGACACCCAGCCAGGTCAACTGATCGGCCAAAGTAAATCCAAAATAAAGATATTTATCAAGCGAGTTCTGGCGATCTAACATCCCCAATAATTTAAGTCATACTGACTTTGAAGCTGAGTACTACGTAACCTTCACAGTAATGTCGCACTTTCCTTGATTGTACATAGGATATTTTCGGCTACTACTACCATACTATACTTTTAGTATACGTAGTATTCATAGTGTAAATTAAATCACTATGAAATCTGTTCAGTGTCACTTTGCACGTCGTATTCTTCAAAGAAATTGTAAAGATCACGAATCCAAATACACGTAGCTAAAAAATGATCTTTTATGAAAGCAACCGTTTTTTTAAGATACTAACTAAACTAAATCAATAGATTCAATAGTGTAATCAAATGATCTTGGTTAACCGAGTTATGGTATTCTTACTATTAATCTGCTCTCTACGTAAATTATTTGACGTGTAGATTGCTTTGAATCTGGATTAGTTTACTGTAATCTTTTAGAGAAACAGATTCACTAGCGCCATTTTCACGATACATCTAAGAGTTCCTGTATTATGATGATGCTTTAACATTCGTATACCAAGTGTTGTATCTCATTGGATTAACAAAATTATGTAGTCATTTTTATTATATCACAAATCCTTTAACTCGTTAATTTCAAACCATACTATCGTTCCGTAATTTTAGTAATTTATACAGATTAATTAGTTAGAAGGAAGGTTATCCATATCATGATGTTGCAAAATAACCAAGAGCATATATGACAATAGCACATAATTATATCATGTGCACTTTTTATAATTTTCATCCATTTTCCATTATTAATTTCGTAATTCTTCTATAAAATCCTGAATGTCAGTTTTCAGTTTTTGAAATCCGTAAAAAGGAAGAAGATATTATGAACATTCGAGTCATTCATCAGTAATATCTGTAAAAAGTTTATTTTGAGAGCTCCTTTGGTTGTTTGAAGAAATGAGCGTTGTATTCTAGGATCCAGGAAATCTATACATAACTCATATTCGACATAGGTTTTTATTATCAGAAAACATTAAAATAAGCAATGAAAAAGAGAAAAGTATTCAGTGAACGCTTCTCGTAAGATATATAGTAAAATTAAAGTACTCAAAAGAATACATATAACTCTTTCAAATTACTTATATTATGATAGCACTGGACACTTTTAAAAGTCAATCGATTAGGATTTATTTGCGTCGCAAATTACTCTGTGGTAACTTTTCTGATTGATATCAGTTGATTTTAGTTTGTATCCTGCTTGAATCATCAGTTCCATCAAAGATTGAAGGTACACATTGATGACAAGTATCAGTGTGGATAAAAACCTAGGACCAACTCAATTCATAAGCAGAATTAAACCAAACTACATCAGATGGTAACTGGAAATTTGGCTTGCTCGCCTAACACTGATTTACAAGTGCTTACGATCTATTCATGAAACAAGCTGACAATGCCTGGAAAGTACTACTTGAAGTAATGAGCTTTCTATTTTTAAAATTCTATTTCAAAGTGACGTTTAAAAAATGCACTTCTATTGAATAAGCACTTGGTAACTATAAATTTTCGTACTACTTTAAAAGAAGTACATATTAATCCGAATTAGTGTACCACAATGATATTTTTAGAATCGGTTTTTCAAACTATCTCCTCTACATTCCGTCATGGTTTAGCTTAATATAAGTTCAAACAATCAAAAAAAAATGTTTGTTAATGAAATATTTATTTCTACATTAGCTAGTTGTGAGAGAAGAAAATATGCGTCGCTCAAGCGAAATAAACAATTAGGAAAATTCTGTATTTCTATTAGTAATTTGAACTATATACAATGCAGATATGGCATCCTAAATTATGAATTGAAGGCAGATCATATAAAACATGTGAATATCAAAGAATGGATCTATAATTGACAGATTTTAGTACTGTAGAATTTAAACTACATGTTTAAACTATTTGTGAAAAGGATTCCATAAATTCATCAGCTGACATTTGAAATGGCATCTTCAAGGAGCTTGTTATATTGTTTCCTTGACCGGTTACGTTATACAAGCTTTCCTTTTCATATTCATTGCTATCCTCATCATCATTATTGCTTATAAGTCGAAGTTGATTGTCTGCTTTAAAGTTTACATTTTCGAAAATATTCCCGCAAAAAATATCATCAAGTTGTGCTCGAAACACTGAAGTTAAATCTAAAGGAACAGGAAAAATAATAGTCGACTGTTTCCCAGATGAAATACTGTTTACTGTTTGAAGGTAACGCAGTTGCATTGCTATTGGATGTTGCTTAATTTCAACAGCAGCTGCTTTTAAAGCACCAGATGCACGCATTTCACCCTCAGCGGCTATAACTTTAGCTGTTGCCTCTCTGACAGACTCTGCTTCTGCTGCCATTGCCCTTTGAAGCTGTATGGGCAAACGAACGTCTTTGATTTCCACTCTCTCAACTTTTACACCCCACGCCTCTGTGACCGAATCCAAACATTCCTAAAAGGTAAGCAAAATAAAAAAAATGAGAAGAATTTGTGGTTAACTATCTTTTTAAATTAAGAATATCAAAGAAATATACTGCAGTGTGAGTTTGTAAAAGTTTCTCTTACATTTATACAGTAAGAGAATTTGTTAAACAAAAAGATGATATTTCTGTAAATCATAAATACATGGTTTTTGCATTATGGAATCTGCTAGATCATCAAAATATGGATGGAAATGTCTTATTTTAAACTACGCTAAAAACATTATTCCTAAAAACAGCACATGTTATTTTTAGCAGGTATTTAGAATCCTAAATATATTTAAAAGTGGCACTCTCAAATAATTTGTAGTTAGAGTGAATAGTTCAGTTTTAGATAGAATTAGATGCAAAACATCTAGTTGAATAAAAAAATTTTTTGTATAGTAATCACCATGTTATACAAGCAAATCGAATGAACCAGTAAGGCTTCACAACTGAATTCAAGCTTTTTTTCAAATTATTTTAATCAAGAGAAAATTTAGATTAACTTGAAAAAGTATCCAAATACTATCTGGAACAAACAATTTGTGTAGAAGACACTAAATTAATCGGAAACATTTCAGTGTACGGTGGAAATCGAAATCGATTTTCTTTAAAATAACTTATCAACATTAAAGCATCATACAATCTATACAGGTGTTTTAAAATAGAGTAGGTGAGTGAAAACGGACCAAATAGGACGATATACGGCATTCTTTCGTCCATGTCTAATTTCCATGCTAATCGACAGCTATGTGATATAATAATAGATAGAATTTTTCATCTTCGACAGTCGCCCAGGAATTTTAGTGGCCCGCAATCTGATGAATGATCGAGTACACGATGACATAAATCTTCTCTTTCATTTCCATATAAGAAGCCATATACGGCTTTAGGTCGAGAGACTAGTGAATAAAGACTCAAGTAGAAAGGGTTAATTCATTTTTCCAAAGGCCGGGACAAGCCCAGTGGTTTCGACATATTTGCACACACATTACAGAACATTGCATAAACCTAAGAAACATTTCAACTCTGAACATTTTGAAATATCTCTGTTTAAACTTTAAATCAAACCATTTCATTATTCATCACTATTTATTGCTTTGTAAACCATGCTCTAAGCAAAATATTTTATTTCACTTGACAAGATAAGTAACTGAAAATGCAATATTATGAATGTATAAATACATAAGTGAGTTGACAATTTTTAAAATCCTTTAAGATCTTTTAAATTAAGTTCACAAAAACTTGTCATTTTGCATATCATCAAAGGGAATACATGAATCAAATCATAGTGAATAAATAAATTTCTATGAAATTCACTTTTATTATTAAACTGAATTAAATTTCAAATAAGATAATGGGAAGCTTGGCATTTTTAATCGGTAAATCGGTCCATCAGTGTTATTTCTTCGTTGTAAAATATTCGAATGATTGTCGAAAAGCGAATCATTTTTTCAAAACTGCAAGTCAAAGAAAATATTTATTTATTGTACTACATTATAATACAACATTGCATAGATTATACAAGTTTCCTTTCTTATATCTTCCCACTTTCACTGAAATTTTTGTGATTACACGAAGAGTGAGTAGTTTATAGTGCACTATGTCTGAAAACACAGTAAGTCAATAATTCTCTTCATTCATGAGTTTTAGTTTTCTGTCATCTCACGCAACATTTAACTGATAAAAAAGTCTTTTTGTTCAACAGATAAAATTTTGTTTTTAAAGCATAAAATCAAAGTATGAATACGATGCATAAATACTTCATTTTTTTATACTAATGGACTTCAAACAAATATTTGCTTTTATTAAATCAATCAAAATGTTTTACCATTTCAGCTAGAAAACAACTAAATAAAAATGAATTTAAAAAGAATTTTAAGTAAAACTGAATATTAAAATTTCATTTTATTGTAAATATTCACGTAGCGATAATGATTAATTAATTGATGCTTCCTTCAATGGAGTGTTTTTGACTTCACTTCACATGGAAAAGCAATTAATGACCTCAAAGCTTGTCAAAGATTAACTACATATTAAATAAGTTTGAAAACAGTACAAAATGGTACGTGTTAATACAACAGTTTGAGACGTGTAAAAGAGATCTTTGCGTAATAATCAATCGCAAATATTGCTATCAGTATAGGGCTGTAGATATTTTCAAGTTTCATTGAGATTATAAATCGATCAATGTTAGACCCTCATTGAAAACCTGATCTTAGTATGCAATTACTTAGCTTAATGTTTATTATGGTGTTTTTAAAATGTCAAAAATGGATTCAGATGAAGCGAGATACTTTTATTCTTTTTGAATTACGAATTTATAAGATCTTTTAGAGTTATGTAAACGTAAATGGTTGGTTAGTCATAGCTTTATTAATTAGGTTGATATGCTATTAGAAATGAAGTAAATTTTAAAAATGTATACTTCTTGTGCCCTTAAACAATGCTCCCTCACGACTCAGCCAGAAGGCATCGAACTCATAACTTTCGATTTCACGCTCCAGAACTTAATTCAATTTACAGTATTTTATCTGTTCAGAAGGTAGAGAGATCAATTTATTTGAACAAATTTCGAAACTAAAGGAATGCAAGTAGCGGATTTTAACATGAGTTTTTAAAGTGCCGATAAATGATAGTTATTGAAATTCACTTTCTTATAGAAAATTTACGCATGTGTAATCATCAGATCATATGCATTTAATTGAATATCATGAAATACTAACAATTTATAATGATTTATTAAGTCATATTGCACAGCAAGTCATTGAAGTTTTTAACACTGATCGATCACTGATATGCAAACAGTTGAAATTAATTTAATTTATCCTGCTGCGAAAACTATTTATTATTGTTCGACCATGAATGGCAGGGATATCAACATCACTCTATCCATTTTACAGACTTTACTTTGGAAATGTTACTTGTAAGGTGGAATACAAATTTTTCACAGTTTGAATCATGATCTGACAGCCAGAAGTTGAGTCCAAAACCATCTAAATTTTTGAGCCGGGGTTTAGTGATGCAGAAGTCTAACTTCGGTCGATGCAAGATATTTCGTGACTACCTTCCGATCTCATTGGTGTACCCTTTATCCACACCCGACACGGTTTAACTACACTGGTCACAGCTTCCTTCTATTCTGTGGTGGTTTTGCTCTGATAAGTTTGTGATTTCAGATATGACAATTCCAACATTTTCATAAACCCTCCTAATTGAATGCAAAATTATTGGTAAGCAGTAAAATATAAAATAATTTTGATCTTATGCATAAAATGTTTCAACATATTAAGATCTCTGTACTGGTAATTTACAGCTGATTTTATGTGAATGACTAAGAGTATCCAGAGATTCCCCACCTGTTTTTGGCTGAATAAGTTATGCATCGGTAACCAACTTCGGATGATAAACAAAGCCCGCGAGGCAACCAGGTAAAACACACAGGATTCACATATGGAACAAAAACTGAGAAAAATGTGATCAAGAATATTAAAGTCGGATAATTTAAACCATTTTACATTAAATTTAATCTATCATGAACATTTTATCGATCTGTGTAATATCAAAGTATATGTTTTCAGAGAAAAATAAGCATTGCCCTAGTAGGTCATCATATACATAAAAACAAAAGAGCAATGAACTATCGTTAAACTAAACAAGTGAAGCGATAAACAATGGATTATCATAAGCCCTATAAATGTTTACTTTTCATTTAAAGCTAAGAAACAGGTTAATATAAATGGAAAAATGACTAAGTTGTATTTTTACGCATAAAAAACAGTGAGATGAAAACCTAATCCAGTTGGGGTTTTTTTCTATAAATGGTAATTAAAATCAACATTTTGGTCAGATTTATTTTTCTTGAATGAGAAGATTAATAAAACACTAATAAAAAATTTGTAATCTATTTGGAATTAATTCAATAAACCAGTTTATAAACTGTTTGGGACTCTTAATATTTGTAAAAACACTACTTATTCTCTTAAAATACAAATAAATAGGAGACGGACAATTTATGAAATTTCTATTTGATTAGGAATTCAAGAGGTTAGATGGTTATTTCCTATTTAAAACATGTTAAATATTTATCAGGATCACACTCTGATTTGAATGGACACGTCGGTTAGCTTATGAGGAGAAATATTAATAGATTGATTAACTATTGGAAGTAGTTTAGCAGAGCATTCCACTGTTAGGCGATTCATTGAGGAAAATCAATAACTTTTTTCAATCATTTTTATAGAAGAATGTTCAGTTTCATCTGTTCAGTAATAACACTAGAAAACTCCGCCAGTTTTCTTAAGGTTTATTTTTATATGTTGTTGACCACAACTACGAAGGGTTATAAAATGATAGTGTTTGGTTCAAAATGATTATACAATAAGAAAAAATTTACAACTGAGTGATGTTTAAATAGTGGGACAGTGTTATTTATATCAAGTTTTTTTTAGTGATAACTAAATCCTAACAACCAAGTTGTAATGTATTCACTCATTTAAGTTATATTAAATGACAATGTAGACTTTGTTGCAATGAACGTTGCATCTCTTCTCTCAAGATCACAAGATCAGCTTTCTAAGATAAGTCAAACAACCTGAAATTTAGATCAAACAGCGTTTCTCGTCGACTACTTCCGACCATCACCTGACGTATGATGAAAATAACTGTCGCAAGTAAATATAAAATTTGTCGTTTAAAATAAAACCCATTTACAGCTTTTTATTTTATAAATAATTCTGGCTAATATAAATGTTCATAAGCAGTGTTCAGTTTGAATATATCAGTTGATCGATTTATTAAATTTTTAATCCATTTTACTATGAACTCACGTTTTATTAAATAAAATACAAAAAAGCGCTCATAACCAGGTAGTTCGGTTCTGATTTTATATTTAATTATAAAATCTTCATTTTACTGTACAACCATAATAACAATCTGATTTAAAATAATTCTTTGTATGATATATTAAACATATTTTAAACTTTTTAGTTTGAACTCAAATATATCAATATTTTAGTATGCACTATTGTTAGTCTTCAGTTAGATAAAATCTTAACATTTCCTGAAAAAAATATCTGCTAAGTAAAATAAAAATTCTGATCAATATTATTATTGAAAGCTAAAGAAAATCTAACTAAATTTGAGATACGATGAATAATCCCAAGTTACTATTTAATGACAGAGACAGTAAATATAAATGAATCTGTTTTTGAATTAAGCATTTTAAGTTATTGCATCTAAGTTGTAGTATTTAATAACACATCAAAATGATGTTTAGAAATTTGATTAAATGTTCTGCCGAATAAACTTTATTCTTTGTAATAACATGTTTTGGAAAGTCTTTCATTAGATTTGATGAATAATATATCGATTGTTGTCTGAAAACAGTATGTATTTCATAGTTTGTGCAGTAGTAGTCGTAACTCTAATCATTCTCAGTAAAATTCATCAGTGTGTAGTGAAAAAGGTTTAACAAATGAGATCAGTTTTATTAATAAGTTGTTTTGAAAAGTTGATTTATTTATTCATGTGTTTAACAATTATAAGCCCTAATTGTTAAAATAAACTTCCAATTCTGTAAGCTATTTAGGTCCGTATTGTAACAACATGAAAATACTATGCAAAACTCATAAAATAAATAAAGATTCAATTGGAAAAGTTAACTTATTATATTTATGCATTCCAACCTGCATCAAAGCTGCAATATCTTCTCTGGAAGTGAGTAATTCTTCCAAATTTACGGTACCTAGTACGTTAAGTAGCGTGGTCTGTCCCAAAACTCTAGTTGCTCGATTAGCGTCTTCAACATTAACTACAGCACGTACTGGATCTCTTACACGGTAATATACAACTGCATTTACTACAACCGTTACAGAATCCTTTGTAAGCACTTCCTGTGTAGGTACATCAAACGTAAAAGTACGTAAGTCCAAAAGGCGGTAACGATCCAAGCAGGGGAGGACAAATATTAAACCTGGACCTTTAGCAGTTGCAGAAACCAGTCTTCCAAGGCGAAATAGTACTGCTCTTTCATAGTGTGTTACAACCTACAATAAAAATAAAAATCGGTTATAATAATTAATAGTAAGTAAAATCATTGAAATATTTCTAGTATCAAAAATGTATAATTTAGTTGTGTGTTGATTGCATTTGGTGATTAGGTCATGGTAAATATCTATTTTGAAATATCGTTTTTACGGAAATGGTCCAAATATAGTCCAAAGTTTAATATGTTCTATAGTACATCGAGAAATGAATGAGAACAGTTGTATCAATGTAAAATATAAATATAACTGCACCTAATGATTAAATATCAATCGATATCAGAATGTATCAAATGCATGATATCGAAACTAATCAAAATGTTCCTTAGACTATCTTTAAGGAACCTATGACTGCGTGAACAAGGGCTATAACATAACTAATGATTATCATGAGTATAAGGGATTTGTGGAGATTACAAAATTTTCAAATCTAAATCACTAACCGATTAAACCTGAACCGTTATTGAAAATATAAGAACCCATGGCCAAAAGAGTTCAACCCGTATCAGGCGTGAAACAGTTATGGATGTAGATAGCATAAAATCGTGAGACATTAGTACTTCCGGATCCCAACTCAGTTATCTAAAGTTTGAACGTTCACCCGCGAGAATAGTGATCTAGAATTCAGTTATATTTTAAGGGAATGTGGATGAGCAAATTAGAGTAGTCCTATGGTAGAATAAAACATGTGTGATAAAATAAAGTCCTATCGTCAGAACATGAACTCAAATTATTTAGAAATATTAAAAACTTCAGTAAATAGTCTTCTCAAACTTGGAGAATTGAATTTATCCCTGGAAGAGATATTTAGGTCATGATAAATTCTGATGAATTCTTTAAATTTGTTTTCTTTTTTAAATTTCTTATTTAATATTTTGAAACCAAATATATATATATATATAAATGTCTAATTACTATATTTTTAAAATATGTTATGCAAAATCAAATTTAATGTGGTTATATATTTTGATAAACTTGTTCATGTGAAAGACCTTTTGGATCAATAAACTTCCCATTCTATAACACTCCTTATTACTTAACATAAATATATTTAATGACTCCAGATATATTAAATATCCAGTATCTTTGTTGACTGATTAGTTTCTTTACACCCTCTTATCTTGGCATTGATTTATTTTTTCAAGCATTTGTTATCATTCAATGTCTATAGTCTGGACACTTAGGCACACTAGTCGCTGTAAATTTAATGAATCATTGGAGGTTGCCAAGTTTTTACCATCGATGAACGCACCTGTTCCAAGGGTCATGGAACTGATGAAACCAGTAGGTATCATGTTGTCGAACCGTCAACTGGTGAGTTATGAGACAAATTTTATAAAATTAGAATAGAATGAAGTAGAAGAATATAAGTTCAGAATAGACCAACTCATTGAATAATCAATTAATAACTGATGGATGTACGGATAATAAAAAAAGTAATAGTCAGGTTAAAAAATTCCGTATGGTAGGATTTATGAATGCAAATCATCCAAAATTGTATATTACTTAAAGAGGATGACAAATAGTAAGTTTATGGTTATCGAGCTTCCAATTAACAGTGACTAATTAGCAGGCTATGGGTACGTCTCTAGGAATAGGATTGATTCCATATTCCTAAAAAAGACCCCTCCAATAGTTATTTGCTCTTAGATCTGTAGTTCGCTGGAGATTACCTCATAAGGTTGGAAGTTAGGGAGAAATATCTTCTCGGGTGTCATGGCTTACAGTCATTCATCGTGATCATACTGAAATATTTAATTTTATTTGTCATTTGGTAAACAACTAAAAACACTGTATATTTTTAATTTGCTACAAGATAATGGAGTAATTTCGATTATTTTTTTATGTTGTCACATTGTTTACGCTAAGATATGATCTTATATAGTTTTATTGTGGAAAGTATAAGTACCCAATAAATCTACCCAAAAATTAAGAACCAAACACAATCACACTATTCGGTAAAAGGTTGCTATTTAGTTTTTCGCCAATTTCCTACACATATGATGCATAGCTTTTTTTAGTACAAGTAAAAATCAAGGATATTATTATTATTATTATTTCATTCCGAATTCTTCACATAAACTAAATATTTATATTAAACGATTTGCATATGATAAATCTTGATTTTACCATTTATTACTTAACTATTGTTATTGTTTTCTTAATAGTATGCTACACTTGGAATAAATATATTATCTACAAGTGTAACATAACTCCACCTGAAGCCCTTGTACAGTTACTGCCGGTCCTAAGCCCAGATACAGAACAATGGTTGACATGGGATTAACGATCTAATCCTGTAGAAATTGAACTTGCTAAAACAAAACACTAATCAGTAAAATAATTCACTGGTCGACGACCCATGCTTCATTAGGGGTAACAAGCGTAAGTAAATAAGTGAACAAGTGTAATATAACTCATTATGATAACAGCATAATCTATAATTATTTACTAAATTCATCCTTCATATTATTCACAAGTTAACTCAATCACATGTATATATTATTGAATCCATTTATCAAATAGTTCATTTATGAGAAGTAACAGGCCTTACATATAAAAATCAAAAAAAAAAAAATTTAAATGAATGTGTATAAATTGTACGAGAACTTTTAGTCTGACAATGACTTTTCGATCTTAAAACGTTCTCTTATATTCAACACGTAAATAATAAATTACATCATGTTATTTGCAATTTAGGATAAGGATAAACTTCACATTGTCAAGTCATTCATAAATTACGATATTCCGTCATATTGGAACACCTAATACTGTTGTGACATTGATAAGTCAACGAAAAAACACAAAATGAGAAATAGCTCCCATCTTGGATTACGATAGCCCTATCTCATTTTGTCTGGTTACGGAATTCAAAGCGGTTATGTCCAATGATAGTGGAGTTTATCCACTATACACTGAGTTGTATTGAACAAATATAATAGAATATTACAATTTATGAATACTATTATATGCTTCTGTTTAAATATTGCTCTAATGAATAATTGTAATAAGTCCAGTTAATACAACACAAAATATCACTTTAAGGAATGGCTAAATACAGCTTTCAATTAATTTACTCGATATCTTCAAATCAACATGTAATCAATTACGTGAATGCTATAAATCAAACTTTATCGACAAATTGCTTTCACTCTTGAAAATAAAACTTTTGATAAATATCATAAAGAAGTGTTTAATTATACAGTTTAAAGAAAGATCTCACTAATTAAACAAGTAACCAAATTCATACATTGAAAACTAAACTGTAGAGCATCTAGGACAATCCGTATACTTATCAAAGAAGTTATTAATTAAATGTTCACTTAAAAAGCGACACATCTAGCGATATATTTTTAGAGAAAGAACTTGAAAGCTATTAAAAGAATATTTATTACAGTAAATTTAACAAACTATCATATCTAAGATTTTAGTGGGATAATGTGTTTGCACATGTTTCTGTGAAACAAGGTATAATGGTCAGATATTCTGAATTTTGTTCAAGAATGTCTACGAATAGTACTCTATCTGATTAAGGAAAAGCAACAATAGTTAACTAAACGGCGAAATCATAAAATATCTTCTTCCCATTGCTCAATCAATTAAAATAGATTTTCAGTTCGGAGTCCTCAACATGGTGAACAGAAACATACCAAAAGTAGGATAATTTCGTCTCAATCACTCGTTATGGACATAGAACAACTAGAATCATGTATATCAAACGAATCAGTTTAAATCTACCATAAAATTCATTTGCTAACTTGATTACATGAATTCTTGATTTTATTTTATTGATTTTATCTTGATTAAATTTTTGAAATTGGACAAATCATCTTATCTTTTAATCTGTTATGCTGTAGATCTTATAATCTGAACGGATTCACTCTTGCTGACATATCCTTCTAGAATATGGCTCACCGCAAATACAATTCACTTTTTACCTTCAGTGATATTATTATTTGGATTTGGATTTAGCCCCTAAATTACAACATCATTTAAATACTTTCACGTCTTTTGTCATGCTCCGTTAAGGTGAAATATATATATATATATGTACATATATTTATATATGTCGAGCTTAACAATGGACATGAAGTTGACTGGTCAACTGAATCTTATTTAAGAACAACTCTGCTTTTTTCATGAGTCAGTGAATGTTTTCTATTAATAAAAAGATCAACTTACAAAAAACAAATCAAAAACCTACATATAAAATCACAATGAAATGAATCACTTAGTCATTGTAACAAAAAGTGACAATTTTACACTTTTATTATTAATCGTATATGTTGTTTAGGTAATTTTTGCTGACTTTGTAGTGACTAGTCTACTTTTCCAAAATAACTTTTCATATCTACTCGTATCTATGCTGATATTTACTGAAAGTAGAAACCATCAAAGATACTTCACAATAAATGTTTTCTTTACAAGAACTAACCCAACTTATACATACATAATTATCTGCAATGATACTTTTACAATTTTTCACAAAAAATAAAAATTACTCTTCTCAATAAAAAAAGTGTGTTGCAGTTAATGAAAAATATTCTGCTTTCATTTCATTAATTATTATTATTATTATTAGTTTATATATCACAGGACAACTTTAACAATACATTGAAATATTTTACAGAGAATATGACAAAAATGAGTCTCCAGACTAAACAAATAAATATTTTATAGATTATTCTAAATTTTGGGCTGTATTTTAAAGATATAAATAAAATGACTTAACGTTAAATTTTGTACAGTTTTTTTTTGTTTAATGGTTGAAGATTGTATGGGTGGTTGAAAGAAATTTATTATTAGGAGAATGAAGTAAAATAAAACACTCATGTCTAGTTTGTTGATTCATTTAGTGTATAGTCTGAACGTTTTATAGGCGAATCTTTCGACTAAACCAGTCTATCTATCTATTAATGTGATTTATTTCATATTATTTTTCTAGTATAAAATTGAAATGACATTTAGATTGTTTATTCTTAATCAATGGTCATGATAACATA